AGGTGAGAGCAGAAGATACTCAATTTTTTTGACGGCCATTTTACCCTGTCGAATTGTGATTTTTTTTCAATTTTTTTCCAAGCATTTATAGGACCTATTTTTTGCTTTTTCATCTTTCAGTTGTATTGCTAAACTTTGCCCTAGGTTGGGGTATGGCCGCGTTGACGAATCTTTTTCGGAGCTTGCACTCTCAATTGGCCGATAGCTTCTTTTCTTCCGTATAATCGCTCCGATCCGATTTGAATAAGCGGTAGATTTCTCCCGCATTCAGATTTCCTAGCATTTAGGTCATTAGACATCTTCTTAAATGGCAGAGTAGTGAAGTGGCGCCTTTTACCCCGCCTATTTCCAGGCCATGTACAGGGTGGTCCAAAATTATGAGGACCAAGACATTGTGTCGTTAAAAACGCATAGTAGCTTGATGGAACAAACAAACTTCAGGGAAGTGTTTGTAACTCTTATCTCAAAGTAATTCCAGAATAGAATTGAGATCTGCCACCTGCCCGTTTACACGAGCCTTCAGATGAAGGGGATGGCGCGTGCGGTGGCACGCAACTGAGGCGTGTCAAAATGTTTCCAGGCCTTCTGCTCTGCTTTCTTCAGGGAATCAAAGTTTTGTGGGGCATTTATTTGCGCTTGCATCCAGGGTGTAAAATACAGAAATCTAGAGCTATTAGGTGGAGGTTCCATTGTAACAATTCTTCGAAAGCAACGAACTCGAAAAATCGCTTTTTAGAGAATTTTTGCTCTATTCTTGGGTGCTCGGTCCTGTAAAAGTCCCAGGTGCTCGGTCTAGTAAAACGTCCCAAGTATGGTACTCGAGTGGCTTCCTATCCACTATAGATGTGGAGTCTTTAGAGTGTCTGGCTGGGTTTTCACATCAATTTTTTCATTTTGGGAGTACGAAAGTCGACAAGGGGAGAGCTAGTTTCTGCATCTGATAATTGTCCTGGTGGTAACTGTAACTTTCGAGTCTCCGAATTTTCCATCTGTGGTGGTTCCAAACTTATTGAAGAGTTGAACTGTTGCCCATAAGAGCTTCCCTGATACGTTAGACTGCCGCTAGATGTAACGTGCCAGAGCCCCTAGTGAGTTCAATTTGAGGACTGACGTAAGGAGATGTTGTTATTTCACTAGTTTTGAGTTGCGATCTCGTGCTGTGAATTCTCATTATGGCACTCTTCATGTCTCATCTCATCATCTTCATTCTCCTGAGTAGTTTTTTCCTTTTCTAGCTTTTGTTTTTCTCTTTGTACGCATATTACAGCCACGCATCTCATTGATGGTGGACTATTTTTTCAGTCATTCTGTTTCATACGCCATGCACTCGTCTTCCATTCCAAATTGCATAGGTCTTTGAACGATAACACCGTCAAAGAACCGACGCGAACAACTAGAGGTCCCACAATTAAGACACCGTTTTTGGTTCGAAATTAAGTAATCGAAGGAGCAAATGCAGTAGCTCACTTTCCTTGGTGCGAATCACCTATAATGCCGTAATGTAAACGCTGTTAATTTGAAATCACCGTCTCTGCTAATTTCACTCTTCTCATTGAAGTTCTCGAGTTAGCTCGGTGTTTCCATTGAGTACGTCCGCTGCCCCCAAGTGCACAACCAAGGTGAGAGCAGAAGATACTCAATTTTTTGACGGCCATTTTACCCTGTCGAATTGTGATTTTTTTTCAATTTTTTTCCAAGCATTTATAGGACCTATTTTTTGCTTTTTCATCTTTCAGTTGTATTGCTAAACTTTGCCCTAGGTTGGGGGTATGGCCGCGTTGACGAATCTTTTTCGGAGCTTGCACTCTCAATTGGCCGATAGCTTCTTTTCTTTCGTATAATCGATCTGATCCGATTTAAGTAAGCGGTAGATTTCTCCCGCATTCAGATTTCCTAACATTTAGATCATTAGACATCTTCTTAAATGGTCAGGGTAGTGAAGTGGCGCCCTTTACCCGCCCTTTTCCTGGCCATGTCCAAGTCAACCTCTATGTGTATAAAACCCTGATTTGTTCATCGGGCATACGAATTCGCACAACGAATGGCACTGGTTTTCAAGTAAGAAGTCGAATGTGCAGCGCATCCCAAAAAGGAATGAAATGCCACAGAATCGAATACTTCAACTTTTTTAAATCAAATACACATCTAAATTACATCACCTCTCTCCTGCTTTCTCAGTTGCTGTGCTTTATCTCCCTTTTCTGGGCATACCATTCGCACTTTTTCTTCACCTTCTAGTATTACAGCGTTGTAGTTATCAAGGTATACTCACTAAACTATCTTTGATCAGATGCTTCAAGCTATACCGGAGGCAAGAAAAATAGTAAAATCAAGTAAACATGAAGAGATTTCCTCCGATATGTCTTTCAATAAATTGTTCACAACAGCAATCCCATTCAAAAGACAGAGCAGCTAGAATTCGCAAAATTTCGTTTTTTTTTCTTTTGTTTTTGTTGAGGATGTGAAATTTTCATCGTTAAATTCCCTTTTATGGCCCAACAGCTGTACGATAAGCGCCGATTTTATGACACTCGGCGTCACGTTCTGGAAAAAATCGCCATTGATATGGGAGATTTTCATTGGGCCATTCATGTGTTTACCGGCGGAAAATCGAAGGCGTTCTCCTAGAAGGGTTTCCTGTTCCGAGCAGTGTTCTATTCCATTGATTACCAATTTCGTGCTGAACTTCCTCAAGACACATTCTTGGCGGTGCTTCTGTGAAAGTCCGGCCGACCGCGGACTCTTTCGGCGGCGCTTATATCGTTGGGACGGGGACGGGGGGGGGGGGATAGAAGATTCAAGCGAGTGGGCCACATATATTACTTGGGACTTATCCTTAGGGATGGAATGATTTGGGAATGTAAAGAGACCAATTTGTTTCTCGCTAGCGTTTCTCCCCTCTCCTGGGGCCGTAAGGTATGCTTCCCCGAAGGGTTGGGGGACGAAAATCCCTTTAAATTTTCTCTGTCTTCCCAACTGGGATTGTCCTGATAAAGGGCCTACATTTAATATATGTGTGTAGGTTAAAGTAAACATGCACTGAAAATGAAGAAACAGTATCGTTCAAAACAAAAAAATTAAAGGGACTTTCGTCCCCGCAACCATTCGGGGAAGCATACCTTACGGCCCCAGGCTTCCACCTCGCTCTGTAGCGTCACATTATGACGTAAATATCTTGCCGCAAATTTCTGTTCAGTCTTGTTCGATTATCCGATTTTTACTTCGCATATTTTTCCATTTTATTATTTTATTACTTTATTTTTCCGCACACCTTTTTTCATTATTCCATTCTTATTCTTTTGTCTCTGTGTAATTTTTTATACTAATTGTTATTTTATCTATTTTGTGCCTGTAATATATTAATTGATTGTTTTATTTATTATGCTTCTATCTAATCAAAAATATCCAGAAACTCTCCTTTTTCAAATTCTTGTGTTAAATCAGAGATTTTATGTCCCAATGGAAAAATTTCAAGTCTACGAGAGTTAGCAGATATAAATATATCTCACATAAAATAAAGTTTTTTGAACGGTTTGGGTCATACAATAACGAATTGATTCATACTACGTCTATAGCAGGTTCTCGCCGGTCGCCAATCCAGACGGGTGTGACGTATTTTTTTTATTATTTTTTATTTGGTATTTTTTTATTTTAAGATTTTTGAAAGGCCGAGTAAAATTTCAATTGGCTGGGCGCCACGATCCACCTGGTTCAGAGTCGAAACGGAGTATTCAAAGGAAGAAAATCGCGGAGACGCGACGTGACCCTTTAAAAAACCAAAAAATCCTCAAGCGACCACCTCTGCGCGAGAGAAGGGAGGGGAAAAGCTCATTTTTAAATTACAGTGTATAAATAGGAGTGAGTTCTTAAGCTATCATAGGCTGAAAACTGACATGAGCGCTATCCGGTCGCTATCAAGTCGCTTTCGTTGATCTTGTTGTAGATCATTTCAGTGACTTGCTCGATATTCTGTTCTCTAAACAGGGCGACTTTCCAGTTTTTCTCCGCATTGTTTGTTTACTACTGTGTTGATTTTTTTATTTAATTAACATTTATCAAATTAGTCATTACTTGCGGCATTTAAATCAAACTTTACTTCTATTTTGTTTACATTTGCTGGGTTTGGTTAATATGAGAGTCAGTCCTTCTTGAGTATTCTTTTTCGGTAACTTTCGGCACTTTTCTGCTTATGCGATTTCTGGATGATGCTTCAAGTTTTTTGCCTGCTAACTGCTGTTCTTGGCCGCAGTTCACCTTTCGGGCTCGAGTCCCGTCTGGGGCGAATTTTTTGTTCACAACTCAGCATACCTGTGATGCTTTCAAGGTTCAGTTGTTTACCTTGCCGATTCCTATCTCCGTGTATTCGACACTTTTATAACCATGCCTAAAATGTCAAGTGTCATTTTTTTATTCCGACTATTTTTACCCCTTTTTCATACCCATCTCTTTTAGAAAGAATCCATCTGCTTCCGGTACATTACCTTGATTTCTTATGGATTTATTCTCACTTACGCTCCGTTGTCTTCATTGTCGTGTACTCCGTTGTGATTTCTAGCGGTTTGAGATGCTTCAAATTCAGTTCTCTCATTTACAGAATGCTCAAATATCAAGTCAGGACCAGCAGTCGACCGTCTGTGTACGGTAGCCCGTCCTCGTCCACACATGATACGACGCTGACCAGTCGAAGTAACTCGTTAGCGTCGTTGAACTCTGTCGACAGTGCGAATTCTGATGGTGATTGGGTGAGTGTATACCTAATTTCGGGGTATACGGTAGACAAAAATTCCATTTCTTAACGACCAATTGTCAATATTTTTGGCCGTAAGGTGAGGCGATGATGTTTGTGTGCGCAGATGTTTTTGTCTACCGTATCACTCCTTGAGCGCCCCCTAAGGACCAAGAGGATTATGCAAATTTCAAAGATTATTCTAATTAGACGCTGAGCTACACTTGAGGAGACCAGACTAAAGAGTATGTACACACCATTGATCGATACTCAGCCTGATTTTCAGGGAACTCTCCGTGTTTATACAAGTAATGTGAAGGCATGTACAGACTACAAAACGATTCGTCTCTCCACTCATTGTACAACACGTTCCGTCATCGATACCGTACTAAGCAAATTCAAGATTTCATGTCGGGACACAAATTTGTTCGAATTGTGGATGGAGGTAAAGATATTTTTGCGAGTGTTTTTTTTTCTAAGAAGGATGATATCAGTAAGGTGTCGTAATTCTATAACGTCTCTGAAATATGAAAAAATGATGTAGAGATTGGTGCTTAGTATTAACGCCAGGTGTGCGCCATGCCTCGGCTTCCTTTCAAAAAATGCGGTGTTTGATTGATTTCTGGTCTAATTTTCGTAGAGGAAACCTATGTTCCAGTCAGGGCTATAATCTCCCGATACCGCATAGCGGATTGGTTGACCAAGGCGCGGGTTTGTCCTGGATTTAATTTTTAGACCATGGGTGGTAGGAGTTTTTGCCACTTTCGACTCCTCCAAGTTTGAAATGTAGAGATCTTGTCGGAATGGTCAGGAGGAGGTGGTGTAGAGGCAAGCGGCATCACGTCCCACGCCCTACGGTCCGGGTGTCAAACCTCAGATCGAATCCTGCCCAGGCCAGCCATGCCTTTCCTCCTACCCGGTCAATAAATAGGTGCCAGATTTGAAGTCAATAATAAAACACTGCATTGCACAGTGGCTGGACCTCAAGTCATTGTCTAGGTAGCCACTGCGATTCTGAATCGAAGTAGAATGCGTGGCGCACTCCAACAAGGAATCGACCAACGTAGAGAGCTTGACGCTCTTTATTCCGTGGTTAAAACAAAATCGAAGGATTGATACCCATTTAATCGGGTAAATAGGTGAAGGTGAATGAGGTTCATTGAATGGTAATCGTTTAGGTGACGACCAAGGCCGACGGTAAACCAGTACGAACAATTCTTAGACTGGATCACGATGCCAGGCCACTTGAACTACAAAGGTATTTTTTTTATTTCTGTCCGATAAATAAATGATTTTGTCTAAAATCTGACCTGTAGCAAATATGGAGTAACTACACAGCCTGGTCTTCTTAGCGGTTTCAATGAACTTGGGTTAACTGTTAGGTCCAGTGGGTCAAGAGAAAATTCATCAGTGTTCCGAAATATTAAAATTTCTTAATCATTCGAGTTGCACCAGCTTCTCACTATTCTTAGTATGGTTCTCTTTTTTTACATTATTCCACCAATTTTTGTTTATTTTTTGTTATTTGTTTATTGTTCGTTTGCTTAGGAGTCACAGTCGAGTTCATTTCAGATGTCATCCTGCCAATATGTCCCGATTTATGCTCCACATGATGTCTGAGGGTACTCTGGTGCGGGTTCACGATCACAATATCTCACCACAGGTATCTAATTTTCATTGAGAGATTTTTGCTGGATTCATAGTCTCCTCTGAAGACACGCAGTAAGAAACAATATAGCTTAATAATTGTCTGTGACTGAAAGTTCGCAAATATTTCGAAATAATAGTAAAAATAATTTGGAATGGTTTACAGTAATTATTGCTGTCAGAAGGATGTTGATTTATCAGCTTTGCCTCATTCGGGACTGGGACCCTCACGTCGTGATTCCGGAGCAGGAGTGCAAGCAGGCCATGTCCCATCTTGAAGGCGGGTGGCGCGATGAATTGGATCTCGGAGAGGAATATGCCTTCTGTAAAGGAAGGCTGAGCCTCCAAGAGACCGAGATCGAGCGCTTCTTTGACGAAGGACGCGCCTTCAGCTTAGTAACGAGGCATCTGTATCTCTGCATTCCTTCGATCCTCTTTCCAGCCTCCGATTGACTGTCCCAGCCCAGCTGCTGTTCCCTCGCCTCCGGACTATGGCTTTTTAGCAGAGAGGCAAAGCAAGACGTTCGATCGTTGTGGTGTTAGCTTCGTCCAGCGCGTAACTTCATGATGTTAATAGAGACTTTGTTCAGCTGGTTCGGGACCTTTTCCCTTGATTTTTTCTGTGCTGTCGTGCAGCCGTTTAGTCACTCAGCTTCCACACGGACTGGACAGTAATTTATCGTGCAATCTGCTTTAACTTCGGCTTTCAGTGTCCTGAACGCGATTTGAATCGTGTGATAATACTTCCGCACAAGAACTGAGAATGCGAGAATAGCAGGTCGAAAATTGAGGTGCGGAAAAGTTTGAGTGGATCTTCTTCAATTTTAATGTACGTCCTCTCGAGGAATGTGCCGTCTTCCAGGGACATATTTATTTTTTATTCTATTTATTTTTATTTATTTATTTATTTATTTATTTATTTATTTATTTATTTATAAAATATGAGCAGTTTTCATTCTCTTAAGCATTCTTGGGGTCACGATCAAATTTTAAATTGGTTTAGAAGGATTATCGACTTCTTAAATAACTATGTAATTATGTGTAATCGGCATATAGTAGAAGGAGTGTGCAAATGTTGTGAGCGGCTAGTTGGTCACTTCGAGATCGTATTTCAACGATACGCTGGCGGCTGGTGGATGTGTTCGGTTCGTATCGCTAGAGAAGCTCAAATCTCGGATGACATGCGAGTTTGCGAAACGCTAAAGGTATTTAGCCCGCCAGAGGCAATAGACTACCTGTCTAAGTTCGGTTTTCGGAAGACCGTGTTTGAATGAGCTTTTTTTGGGAATTTCCTATCTCTGTCATTCTGCCGACACCTTTTGAGAACCGGGTCTAAAGCACTTGTGACATACTTCTATAGGCTTAGCTGATTATGAACTAAAAAGAATGATAGTCAAAGAGGCGAGCACAGGCGGTAGGAAGAAACGAGGTTGAAGGATAAATAAAGGATAAAGCATTTGCCGTTGATCCCATTTGTACATTCGCAGTGGCGTTTGAATGCGATGTGGCCTATACAATGACTTGCGGGGCCAGCCGATGTACAAGTCAGTGTTTTTTATCCTCCCAGACAAGTCTGGTACCAATTAACCGACCCCGGAGGGATGGAAGGCTTGGTTGGCCCGGGCGACTCACGACCCAGGATTTGATCCCCGGACCGCTCGCGTGGTGAGCGTGCCACTTGCCACTACACCACTTCCGCCCATAAGTATAGTTCAGCCTAGTATCCGCATCTGTCGCAACGAGGTTACGCCATGTATTTGTGATCCTCACTTGAAGGCATCTGTCGAATTGTTGTCTTCATCGAAAGTGGAGCAGGAGGTGCGAAGGAACGTTAACTGTGGAACAAGCAAGAAGTAACATACTATAACCCCCTGGAATATAAAAAAAATAAAACAAAATCTCTGAATAAACCCTAGCCCTGAACCTAAACAGGCATTCCTCGATGGATAGGGTAGGGCAGGTTAGTCAGAGGATTGGGCTGCCCACAACTAGAAGAGTGCTGTTCTCGTGGCTCGGAAATGCTCGTTGATGGCAGTGGGTTTCATTTCTGGAGCTGTACTGTTCTCCGCAGATTGTTATTTGTGATGCAACAGTCTGGGTTGTCTGCGTCTCGCCCGTCCCCCATAGTCTCTCCTCTATCTTCTCGCTTGAGCGCTCAGTATCTACTCTTTGTTTTTCATGTGCAATAACTGTACCTAAATAACTGTGCACTTCGTGGAACCTGCCTTCAGGATTGTTACCTTTTGGTTATGGTTATAATTGAGATGCCAAATGACTAGGCACCAATAGGGTTATGCTTCCCTTATTTGCTGAGCAACGTTCTCGATCACCTCCAGTTTTTCGCACTTGACTTGAATTTTGAAAAAACTGGAATTTTGGGTCGTGACGCCGTCTGTTTGTGATTTCACCCGTTGACAGCTTCGGCACAAAATTGGCGCGTGTGCCTTTCAGCCGTCAACGAGGCACCACCGCGTGTCCGCTGCGCACGCTACGACATCATTGAGGCAGTGGTGGCTGCATAACGCCCGCAATGTTCCGTAAATGATGGGCTTCGGATTTTCGACCGAGTTTCTCCCTATGATGTTCACTTTTGTCGTCAAGGGAAGATGATTTATGAGAAGGTGAATGAGACACATGAATATGGGGAGAACATCCTAGCAGAAAGGCCTTGAAGATGGAGAGAATGAATGGAACATGTCAGTGTGACGTTATGTTCCCTTTTACGACCCCCTCTTGTCTGCCTTTTGTGAATAATTGACTCTTCTGGGGTTAAAGGTTGGTAAAATACAGGAGTTGGAAGAAAAGTTAGTCATTTTTCTCTCTGGATTGATTCTCTTTTTCCAGAAAATTTGATGGAACCCCTACGAGAGCATTTCGCCCCCCCCCCCTATTCTGACTTCCTTGGTAGCTATGTTTTCAGGACTTAGTATTTAATTTTTAATTATTAATACTGCCATTCAACTCTGTTGCAGGTGGATGTAATGCTAGCTTTCGTATGGAATGCTTTTTACCCGATCTAAGCCTA